CAGCAGGACTCAGTGAGAGAAGGCGCGCGCGTGCACATACACACACACACACACACGGGGACAGCAAGTGCTGAGAGGTACGGAATGGCCACCCAGAGTAGGAGAGAGGGTGACCACAGGAATGGTAAGAAGGCAGAGACACCTAGGGATGGGGCTGGGTTTTCTGCAGTGGGCAGATGGGCTGCGATTAGGTTATTTCCATGGTAAAGTAAAGGGTGACCCAGATGGCACCAGCCTTGAGGACATCTGGATCACATCAGTTCTCAAACTCTGTTTCATTTGTCACCATTCCTTTTACCTCAGCTGCCAGGAGTCTCGGGATTCATTTTAGTCACTCATCTTTAACAGTCTTCTGAGTTCCTGGAATGATCATCTACTCTGTTCTGCTACCTTATGCTGGATCTTTCTCCTCTAATCTTAATGATCTTTCTGTTTCTGGGGCTTTTATGAGATGTATGTAGCACAAGATAGAAGCTTGTTAACTGCTTAGGTCCTGAGTTAAGGATCTAGTTGTGGGGGCAACAGAATCCAAGCCCCTGCACCTCTGTCCTCAATTGCTAAGCCAGGCAACCTTCCTGGAAGACATGACTCAACCCTGACCTTCCTCCTGGGTGCTGGCGGGGGGGTTACCTTCTGTATGGTCACAGCTGCTTGGTCCTGATCGAACTTGTGCCAACCATCCTCTCGAATCTTCCGGTCCCGCTCCTCCTCTCTCCGTATCTCTCGCATGAAGGCGGCTCGGAGCCGACCTTGTCTGGCCCGCTCAGCCCTTTGCAGCAGGATTATGGCCTCAGTCCGGTGCATTTCTGGAAAACCCTGGCCACCATAGGGGCAAAGGAGCAGGAGAAGATGAAAAGGGGATTATATTTAGGCTAGCAGCTGGGAGACCATCCATCAAAGGACATACTGGGGACATGGTCCTCCCAGAGCATCTCAGTGCCCAAGTCCCGTCCTCTATCTCAGTGTCAGAAGGTTTCAAGGAGCATGAGAGCATCCTTGAAGCAGGCCAGGGATTACCCAAGGAGTACTCTGAGGCAGGTATAGGTAGGACAAGTCCTCTCTGTGTCCTGGAAGATGGCATCTCTGTTCTGGGCGGGGTGTGTGAGAGGAATCTGGGAGGGTGTCTCCCTGACTTACCATCTCAGAGGTCACTGGCTTCATTCTGGACAGGATCTCTGCCAGCATCAGCTCTCGCTCCTTCAGAACGGTGGACTGCTCCAACAGAAAGTATTTGGGGATTGGAACCTCCAGGTCTGCCTTTGGGGCAACACAGGGGAAGGAGGGTCAGGACTCAAAATCCAGGCCATCTGGCTGATACTACCATCTTCTGCTTACAGTGCTTGGTGATGGCTTCCTTCATTCTAGACCCCCAGGACGGGAGATTCATGGGCTATGGGCAGATCCCCTTAAGCTCATCCCTCTATCGCCCTGCCCCACTGTGTAACCGGAGCTGAATTCTGGAGGATCGTGAAATGTAATGGGCAGTGGTTCCAATCCTGACTGTGCATCAAAATGAACGGGGAAGCTCTTAAAATGCAGACTCCTAGGCCCTCCCCAGACTAGCACATCTGAGTGGCAGGGCCTGGAGAATCTGTTTTATCAGTTTGTTTTTTCAAGTCGGCCGCTGAGTTTCTTGAAGCAGTGGGTTCTAGAAACTTTGAGACTGCTTCCGATGAGGAGCAGCGAACCAAGCCCTCTGGAGACTGGCTGCGAGTGCATTCACATCACCCCAGGGGCTTGTTAAAATGCAGAAGCAGATTAGCCCCGTTTGGTCCGAGATTCTGCATTTCTGATAAAGTTCTGGGTGCTGCTGATGGGGCGGGTCCAGGAAGCAGACTTGGAGAAGCAAGCCTGGTGGTGGTGGGGGGGGTGGTCTTCAATCCCTGCCATTGTTGGGCATTCCCAGCCCTGCGGAGCTTCCAGCCTGACTCTCTAGCCATCCTTCAAATGCTTGCTTGCACCCCGTCTTCCAGAGCCCTTCTCCCAATCAAACCCCATTCCCTGATCTGCACCGTCCCCCCTTCCCTTGCAGGGGTCCCAACACCAGGGTTGTCCTGGGGGGATCAGGACCAGCTCCAGCATCTCCGCCACGTCCTGCCCCACGTGGCTCCATGTCCGTGAGAGGTCAAGGTCACCGCTACTCCCCACCTCACGCCCGCCTCCCCCCCCCCCCCCCCCCCCCCCCCCCCCCCCCCCGCCTCCGCTGGAGTGGGCGTGGCTCCGCCGCCGGCAGCGCACCGGGGTGAGCTTGAGGTCCTGCAGCACGCGGTCCAGACAGTGGTATTCGCTGAGGTCGGCGCGCACCAGGTCGTCCTTGAGCTCCAGCACGCGGCCAGCCACGCTGTCCAGCAAGCGCCGCAGCAGCCGCCGCTTCTGCGGCTGCACCATCTGGTCGTAGAGGGTGTCGAACCGGCGCATCAGCCCCAGGTAGCACAGGTAGATGGACGAGAGCCTGTACTGGAACGACTGCCGCTCCCTGGGCGACACAGGTTCCAGCAGGGGCTGCTCCTGGTCCAACAGCTCTTGAAGGGTCACGTGGGAGGAGTCCCAGAGGCGTTGGTAAGCTCTGGAGAAGAGGGGAGAGAGGGCTGCAGGTCTGGGGTGATCTGGGCCTCAGAGGAGTGGGGACAGTTGTGGGGGGGATGGGCTCTGCTGAGCCTTTTGAAGAGTGTGAAGTCGGGGTTCCAGAGGTGTACAGTTAAGGTTACTCATGGTGTCGAGGAGTCCTGAGGGGGAATGAGGTGGTAGTGAGGAGACATGCCCAGGCTTCGAGCAGGTGGGAGACTGGGATCGTTGGGAGGAGGGATCCACTGATGGATTAGCTGGGAGGGTGAAGGCTAAGCATGGCCCTCAGCAGCTCCCTGTAAGGAAGAAGCCTCTTGTGGAGTCCACAGTCGGCCCCTCCAGGGAGAGGGTGCAGCCCTGGGATGCTGCAGGGGTGTAGAATGGTGAGTGGGAAGTGGGGGATGAGGGATGAGGGTAGAGAAGGGTCCCTTCCTCTGATTCTGGAATAAGTAGTTCCAGGAGAGGAAGAGCTGACCCCAGATGGAGCCGCCGGGGCAGCCGCATGAATGCCCCGGGCCCAGCCAGGGCTGGCCCAGCACACAAGGCCCCTCTCCCGGGCATCTCTTCTCCCCACCCACCCACCCCAGCCCTGGGGGCTCCGCTCCTGCCCGTCACTCACCCCTCGGACATGGTGCCCACTTCTCACAGTTCCCTTTGTGAGCTGGTCATACAGTCCGCAGAACCTGCGGCTCGACCTTGACTCCACACCCCGGAAGTCAGAACAGCACAATTTTGAGAGTTCTGTCCCATTGTCTCGATGTTCTAAGGCCATGAGTGGGGGGGGTGAGGGCAGCAGGTACAGGACTGGGGACCCTTATCTCAGAGGATGTTCCGGAAGCAAGCCTTGGAAGGCTGGGGCAGTGTGGGGTCAGCCTCGGCTTCTTTTCAAGTGAGGGTCATATAAAAGAGGAGTTGCTATTTGAAGTCACCCTGGGAGCCGTGAGGCTCGGGGTGAAGGTTAGTCCTAAAGGCATCCATTTTTCCAACACACTTCTCAGCTGGAGGAACCCTCTGCTTCTTGCATTCAGAGCCAGCCTCCTTAGCTCTCAGGACTGTCCTGGGGGCAGGTGTGACGTGAGGGGGAAGGGGCGCTGGAGTTGGGGTCAGAAGGCCTGGGCTCAGGCTTCGAAGTCACGACTTCCCTTGATATGAGCACAATCACGTGTTTCCCTGGAGTCTGATGGCGCTTCCCATGGTCCACGCGAGCTAGGCCTGTGCGAAGAAGGACATTAGAGAGAGTAGCAGATGGGACTCCGTGGTCTTTGGGGCTCGCTCTGGGCCGTCTGTGGGTTACCCCATCGGGGCGACAGGCTCAGGAGACCTTTCTTTGGAAACTACAAAACCTAGCGGCAGCAGCGCCCGGACTCTGGTCAGCTGGGGGTGACTTTTTGATTCCGTGTCAAGTCGGGACGTGTGAATAAGTAAGGCACAGAGCAGAGGAAAGGGAGAGAAAGGGGAGAGCTGCAAAGGGGAGAGAGAGAAGAGGTGTTCCGTGGCTTCCATGTGCGTACGAGTCACCCGAGATCTTGTCCAAAATGCAGATGCTAATTCCACGATCAGACGTGGGTCTCTGAGTCACACTGCAGCAAGGTATGACATTCAGTGGGAGTGGGGAAGGGCCAGGGCTGGGGGGCCCGGTCTCCCAGGCCCTCCCCTTTCTAGCTGCGGAACTAAATTGCGGGTGATTGGTTCTCCTCTCATGGCATCTCCAGGTTAGGGTTTTCCTGAGAGAAAATATGTGTCAAGGGTATGGACGGCATCCAGTGGCCAGCCCCCGTTACAGCCAGCCTGCTCGGTACACAAAGGGGACAAGCTGTGTCTATCCAATGGCAAAGGGAAGAGAAAGGATTTGGGACCTGTTCACTGAGTGCAACCCCCTTCCACCACTGCCTCACAGCTCATCTCATGTGCCTGTAAGATAGTGCAGAGGCCGAATGAGTGAGAAAAAGCAAGTGTGAACAAATGGTAGGTGAACGATATACAGCTCCTCTTGGTACTTTCTTGCGATTTTCCAAAAAGTGAGGAGCCTCAAATATTCCTACCAATTTGTTCTGAAATTAGGGGGAAGAAAATATCAGGGGAAAGTGAACACATCCTATAGATCCCAGCAGCTTACTGAGAACCCCTCCCTTTTGAGTCTGGAAGGATAAGATCTATGTGGTCCCCATGCCCAACACAGGACAAAAATGACAGCTTGCCAGAAAAGGCATCACAAAACCGTGGGCTGAAAGAGTTAACACACAGCGGATCGGGGATTCTAATCCAGATCCCAAGTCCTGCTAAAGTTCAAGTTAGAACTTTGCCCCTGTGCTGCCCAGGGGCCACACTCAGAAAGCAGTATTTAAAAACTATGAGTATTACTCACCCCTGTAGCCATAAAAAGTGACAACACCCTTGCCGCACATCGCACCTCCCCTTTTCAAATCACCACAGTGCACGGGAGCAGTTCACTCTTTATTAAACACTCGGCCCCGGGGTCACTTGGAGCTGGTGTACTTGGTGACGGCCTTGGTGCCCTCGGACACGGCGTGCTTGGCCAGCTCCCCGGGCAGCAGCAGGCGCACGGCCGTCTGGACTTCCCGGGAGGTCAGTGTGGTTCGGCCCGAGTACTGGGCCAGCCGGGCAGCCTCGCCAGCCAGACGTTCGAACACATCATTCACAAACGAGTTCATGATGCTCATGGCCTTGGAGGAGATGCCGATGTCTGGGTGCACCTGGAGAAGCAGCAGAACCGCTTGGTTAAGGAGAAAGCTCTGCCTGATGCCGCGGGCCCCAGCCCCGGCTCCAGCTCGGGACTGCCAGGCCGCCTCACCAGCCTCTCTCCGGAGGCCAAGCCACAGAAACGGGGATGGGTTTTTTACTACTACATCGGAGTTAAAAGTTTTTCCCAACTGCAAAAAGTAATGCTATTAAGTTCCTCCTAGGAGCCACATGTAAGCATCAATCTTTGGGAAATGGAAACAGTAACTCAGCGTTTGCTTTTCTCCTTTAGTATATCTGCAAAGCGTTACCCCCAGAAACGGACTCCTAGCGGCAAAGCTCCCGGAGGTGGAACTGCCACCGCATCCAAGGGTTTATGCACCTAAGTCGGCATTACCAAATAATTGTCCGAGAGCACGCTTATGTGACACGATCCCAGCACCAGACTAGGGGTCAGAACAGCAGGGATCTGTGGCCCTACTGTGAATCACTGCCCAGCCTCCAATGGGGCACTTTCCTGTGGGCCTCAGTTTCCTCCTCTGTCACACAAGCTTTTGAACTAGGTGACCTCCAGTAACCCAAGTGGTAGGGGCCTGATAACAGAACGTGAGAGTGGGCAGACATGAAGTGTTTCCCTCCGAAGGGTGACCTCCGAAGGGAGGGGTGACTGCCAATAGCACACATCAGGCCAGTGGTGGAGACAGAAGTGGAACTCAGACTCTCCCCAGCCTCTGGATGTCAGCGGAAGCAGGGGATCCGAGCCTGAACCCCTCATGTTGTCATCGCATCTTTTTCTCCTTGGGGTTGAGGGGTCACAGTGAGTTTCACAGCCCATGGGTGACTCCCCCAGTAGCTCTCCCTCACCAGTCTAACCCAGGGCCAACCCGCGCCTCACAGTTGTGCCCCAAGGTTAGCAGAGCTCACCAGGGCTCCCTCCCACCCCCACGTTCTGCAGGTTGCTGGAGTCTGTCCTCTGCTGCTTCCCCCAGGCCCGTCTACAAGAGTGCTGGTCCCAACCTCACCCTGACCCCACAAAAGCATTCCCAGAGACCCAAGTTGTCAGGTCACTGAAACTGCTACTGGGACTAAGACTGGAGACAGACTCCACGTCTAGGATCTAGTCTCACAAAGGGGTAAGACTCGGGCAGGTGGCAGAGACGTAAGGCAGCCAAGACCATTGTTCTGCCGGCTCCCAGCGCTGGTTCTCTGAGCGGGGAAGAGGCTGGGAGGCCAGGGTGCCTGGTGCCCTTGACCAGTCGGGTGCCCGCTGATGCCCTCACATATCCGTCAGTGAGCGAGGGCCAGGAGTAGGCGCTTCTCGCAGGTGCTCTGCTAGGCCGGGAACGGAGAGCATCCCCAGCACCCCTGGGTTAAGAGGCAGGACAAGCCGGAAGTAGGTGACCGGCCTGCTCAGAGCCGGGGGGGTGGGGGGCCTGAGCTCTGCAGCTCTCAGGTCACGGGACTCAGTCAATGCACTGAGCCTTTATGGACCTTGTGTTCCAGGTCTGGGCAGTAGACCAATCCCGTAGCTGCTCGGGGCCCGAGTGCTGTGTGGCTGGAAGGCCTTCCCCAGGACTTCCGCTCACATGCGTGGCTCCGTGCTCCGGCCCCTACTGCTAGGACTTCTTGTTTGTACCGTACTGTGTTTGGGATTTGATCACCCTTCAGACCCACACTTTCTTACAGTCCTCCCTGTCTTAATTATGTCCCCCCTAGTCCCACCCATCATCATCTTGTCCGCCCAAAGCTCGGTGAGCTTCTGGGCGGTGGTGGCATGCTTTAAAGGTCTCCTGCCCGTCTCAGGGGCGCGATACATACTGAGAGCTTGTAGGGACCTGAACTGGAGCGAGGCCACGTCGAGACAGGCACGGCGCGCCTGAGGCCACCCACCGCAGTGCCAGGAGTAAGCAGAGTAGGACTCTGTCCAGTGCTCTCTCACGGCTCTCCTGCCAGTGTGCTCCACACACCCCCACGCACGAACTCGTTGGCTCCCCGCTCTCACCTGCTTCAGCACCTTGTAGATATACACTGAGTAGGTTTCCTTGCGCCGGCCTCGCCTTCTGGACTTCTTATCACCACGGCCCCTTCGGCCCCCCGGCTGTGGCTGCTGGCCATGCTCCGAGCTCATCCTGCCGCTCCTCCTAACGCCGCCTCCTGCTCCTTGGGGCATTTTATGGAGTCGGCTGCCCACCAGGTGGGGCTGGGGGCCAGCACCTGGGAGGGAGGGGGTGGGAGGGGAGGAGCCTCGCCCATCCCTATCTAGAACAGGCTCTGGGCTAATCTTGTAAGAGAGGAATGGCTCCCACCTCTCCCCCAAGTGATTTCCTGCCTCTGAATGAGCGGCCCTCCCCCAGCTGACCATCTCCCAGGGGACTACACACTTGGTAGAGTTCCCACACCACCCAGCTGTGCCATGAGATCACTCTGCACCCGCTGTCCTTGTCCTCGACAAGACTTGAAATGCAGGGGTGTGTCAGGAGGAACCCGAGGCACCCCGCCCCCACCCACGGAGCCCTACAATACAGCTGGGAGGGCCGAACTGGCTCACAGCAAAGAGAGGAGTAGAAGCACTAACGAGGGGGCCTAGGGAAGAGAGTTCAGGAAAGAAAAACTGGTGAGGGCTGGGGTGTCTGGGGGGCTCAGTCTGCCTTCGGCTTGAGTCATGATCTCCGGGTCTGGGATCAAGGCTTGTGTTGGGTTCCTTGCTTAGTGGGGAGTCTGCTCCCCTCCCTCTCCCCCTCCCTCTGCCCCTCCCCACTGCCTGTTCTCTCTCAAATAAGTAAAAGAAAATCCTTCGAACAGAAAAGAAAACTAGTGAGGGCTACAGTAGCCAGAGATGGCTTCATGGAAGGAATGGGGATTTGGTGCTGGTCTGGTGGGAGGGACACGGTGTAACTGGGGGGGTGACAGAAGGGCGGTCCGAGGGGAAAGCAGAGTGGAATTGGTGTGTGCTGAGTGCAGTGCGGCTCGGAAGGCAGAAGCGCAGCAGAACCGGGGCCAGGGCCAGGGCCAGAGGCAAGCGGCTTGAGGGCCTGCCGGGGAGGGTGTTGGGGCGGACTGGAGGAGCCAGAGCGGGGCGCACTGGGTGCTGTGGGCTCCTGGGGAAGCTGGTGGCAAAGGGAAGAAGCAGCTGCTGAATGGAGCGGTTCTCGCTTTGCACCTACGTGTGAACGATACTGCGGGTTAAGTGCTGTGACTACGAAAGCTGGAGCAGCACGAGAAGCACGGGCTGGGGGCCGGGTGCGGGGGAGAGGGTTTCCCAGCCAGAAGAGGTGGGTGAGAGGGGTAAAGACGAGCCACACCTGCCAGCTGGGTGAAGGCAAGCCCCAGCCGGCCGTGCCTCGCTCACCTCCAGCCCCTTCCCGCCGTCTGGCTGCATCTTCGTGCCAAGGTTTAAGAGGACCAGGAGGGAATTCTTAAGCCAAATAAATGCACTGCTAATTTTAGGCCTTTGTAGAAATCTATATAGTGGGCTTTTTAAGCATTCCTGAAGTTTTTGAAATTGGCTTTTTTTGGTGGGTTGGCTGGGAGAGGCGAGCTGCGTAGACGACTTTGATTCTCCCAGTTCTGAAGCCCCGCCCAGCACCCCGAGGATTCCACCCGGGACACGAAGGCAACTGGTATAAACACACCCAGGGTCTCCCTTGGCTGAGGCAGCGGGAGCGCTCCTCTGTTCCCATCCTCCCCGAGGCTCATTCTCAAGGCCATTCTCCCCCCTACCGGTCTCTGGATGCTCGGACTGACTGAGGCACAAGGCGACAAAGGCAGCTCCCTTAGCGGTGGAGTCCGAGCCTCACTCCAGCCAAGGGCTCAGCCGCAGCCGCTCACCTGACGTGCCAGCTCAGCGTTCCGCCTGCCCCGGGCAGCTCTTGGACCACAGGGCCATCTGAGTTCCTGCTCATCTTTCTTTCTTCCTTTCCTTTCTTTTTCTTAAGATTTTATTTATTTGACACAGAGAGACACAGGGAGAGAGGGAACACAAGCAGGGGGAGTGGGACAGAGGGAAGCAGGCTTCCCGCCGAGCAGGGAGCCCGATGCGGGGCTCGATCCTAGGACCCTGGGATCATGACCTGAGCCGAAGGCAGATGCCCAATGACTGGGCCACGCAGGCGCCCCCCTCTTCATCTTTCAAGTTAGAACACCAATTCTGTCTTTCTGGATCGCTATCACAAGAACCCCGCCCCTCTCAGTTTTGAATCCTTCTGTGTATCCTAACAAGTCACAACTGAGCATCTTATTTATGCCCTGTCGTGTTCTCTCGTCACTGTTGGTTTCCCCATTAGATCGTGAGCTCCTTGGGGATTTAAGACGCCATCTGGGACTGGTTTTGTTTTACATGGTCTCAGACGTACTGTAACCAGCACTGAAAAGTCACGACTGTGTGTTTCCCCACAGGGACAGCCGCCGAGGTGTGATCAATCCGCACCACTACGGACGGCCACCCGCGTGCCTGGTGGACCAAGGCGGCAAGTGCTAGTCGAGCTCAGATTGATCATGCAGAGCCCTTGGTCGGGAAGTAAATGGGGTCACACTAACAAAAGTGAAGGCCACAGATGGATAAAGTAACGAGACTTCCCACATCCCCTGCCCCCAAGAATGGTGGGTCACAAACGTGTTGAAAATGCAGATTCCTGACCATGTCTGCATCTCTCTCACCGCACCAGATGGAATCAATAGGTCGGGGCCGGGGGATCTGCACTTTAACAAGCCCCACCTGCCCCAAGTATGGGGTACAGGTGGCAGCAAGGGAGCCTCCAACCACTCTGAAAAGCGTGTCCCAGGAGAGAGGGTCTCAAGTTCAGCCCCCAGGTGAGCAGCATCAGCGGCACCTGGGAACTTGCTAGAAATGTTTCATTCCTGGTCTCCCCCCAACCTACTGAACCAGAAACCCTGAGGCCAGACCCAGGTACTGGTGATCTGTTGAGTCTTCCAGATGATTCTGATGTGTGTTGTGAGACCAGGGCCTAAGGCACGATTTCAGATCAAAGGAAAGAGAGTTATTCCAGCTCCTAAAGACTAGTCTTAAGTCTGCCTCCACCCCACCAATCCCCACCCAAGCTCTTGCTGCGGGGAGGGGCGCTGGCACTTCGGGGAGGAGGGAAGTAAAGGGCCCAGAGACCAGAAAAGGAAGGTAGGGACCATGGCTTCTTCTTTCTTTATTGGACACTTTGTAGGTCACGCATGTCTAAAAGTTACACTGTTAAATAATTATTTAAAAACCGACCAGGACTAAAGCCCTGGTCCAGAGCTCCAAACCAGAAGCAGAAAGGAATGGGGGCGGTGGGCTGGGGGGTACTCCTCCAACATCACCAAAACCCAGAAAACGAGGACCCTAAGCTCTTCCACAGGCCAGCCCAGGATGTGGGCCCTTGGGCTAATCCTCAGGTGCCTCTGGCTGCATCACTATCAGGTCAGTAACCAGCAAGGAGCCGGCCGAAAAGCCAGCGGAGTCCAGACATGGACAAAAGTAACTGGAAGGACAGGAAACGGACAGGTACTGTCCAGCTGTAGATAAGATCACGGAGTGCAGCTAAGGCAGGTGGGGGTGGGGGGGCGGTTGGGGAGGGGTATTGCAGCAATGCAGGAGTGTGGCCCCAGAGGCCCAGCCCAGCCCGGCAGGGGCTCACACATTGTGGGTCCTCCTGGTGAGCTGGGGCTCTTCGCCCACCAGCTTGGACTTGAGGTGCTCCTTGTAGGCCAGGATGTCTCCAGGCCACTTGGTGATTGTCTGCTTCTCACAGACCCAGATTTCCTGTGCAACCTAGAAGGCAAATTTTAGGCTTAGTAATCCTGGCCAGCACTCCCTGTCCCCGCCCAGAAGACTACTGTCAGGCGAATCCAGGAAGAGGCGCCCCCCCAACCCAGCCCCATATCTAGCTCAGTTTCACCCTCTTGAGGTGCTTTGTGAGGCCGAACCCAGGGTCCTATAGCTAGCAGGTTCAAAGCCTTCCAAGCCAAGATCTGCTGTGTCTCTTCATCTCCATTCCCCAGCAGGGCTTAGATCCTTTGAGAGGCTTCCCTCCCAGCTCCCTTTTCTCCACCGCACCTTTTCCGAAGCTTCGGGGAAATGACCAGCAGCTTTTCCAGCAGTGACTGGTAGTAACACTTTGACTAATCCAAATACTCCTTAGTATAATACTATTTCTGTGCTGAAGAATCTTGGGGCATGGGGTGGCTGGGTGGCTCGGTGGGTTAAGCCTCTGCCTCGGCTCAGGTCATGATCTCAGGATCCTGGGATCGAGCCCCACATCGGGCACTCTGCTCAGCGGGGAGCCTGCTTCCCCCTCCCTCCCCCCCTGCCTGCCTCTCTGCCTACCTGTGATCTCTCTCTCGCTCTGTCAAATAAATAAATAAAATCTTTAAAAAATAAAAAAATAAAGACTCTTGGGGCAATAGCAAAGCACCCTGCTCTCCACCCAGCTCCCTCACCAGTCCTGGCTAACTGCCAAATGGGCTAACATTCCCAAATCACTACTGAAAAACATGAAGTATTTCCACTAAGAATCTCTTAAGTTTCTCAGCCATAAAATCTGGTCCTCATCACCCTGTTTACACCAAGACCTTTTCCTACATCCAATAAACATGTATTAAGTGCCCCCCCACCCCAGGCCATGACCGTTCTACCCAACCTTCTCCTGGACACCATCTGCTCTGACTCCCGCTCCAGCCAGGGGCCTCACCTGCTGAATGAGCCTGAAATCGTGGCTGACCAGCATCATACCACCCTCAAACTCATTGATGGCATCAGCCAGGGCGTCGATGGTCTCGATATCCAGGTGGTTAGTGGGCTCGTCCAGGAAGAGCATGTGGGGGTTCTGCCAGGCCAGCCAAGCCAAACACACTCGGCACTTCTGCCCATCAGACAGGTTCCGAATTGGGCTCACCTGAGTGGAACCATGACATTCATAGAATTTGCTGTTACTCCCACCACAGGAGCATGAGTCCCCCCCGCCCCCCGCTTCTCCATTAATGTTATCACCATTCTACGAAAAGGGAAGACCCAAGATCACAGAGTGAGATGGTGACACGGCTACCAGTCTCCCAAGGCCTGTAGCGATAAATGTGGAAGCCTGAAGCCCCTGCCATTACTAAGGCCATCCCTCTTGCTCTCTCACCACTTAAACTGTAACTAATTGGAACAATCTGGTGGGTCCTCAATCCAGACCTGAACCCAGGAACTCGTTTTCTAGGTCCAGTTTCGCTTGCCCTCAAGCACTATGGTTTATCTTGTTGGTCTGGGGCCAGGGCATGTCAGAGACTAGCATGCTGTCCCTGCCCCTCCTCCACAAGATGACATGAACACTAAAATACATATGACCTAGGGCAAAGGAAAGCTAGTGGGTTCTCTTGGATGCTGGAATCAAAGGGAGACACTTTTCAGTAAAGTATACAACTTTTGATCTCAGGGTTGTGAGTTCAAGCCCAGCTCTGGGTGTGGAATCTACTTTAAGGGAAGAAAAAAAAAAGGGAAGCGACTTTTGGGATAGCTCCCAACCCCAGGTCACCAGGACAGTGTTCCCTGACCACACAGCCCGATCTCCCAGTCATCTGGGGCTGCCCTGCGGACCTGCTGTTTCCCAGTGAGACCATATCGACCAATGATCTTCCTCATTTCTTCCTTCTCCTTGATCTCAGGGTAACACTTCATCATGTACTCCAAAGGTGAAAGGTCTAAGTCCAGCTGCTCTTGTAAATGCTACAGGAAAAAAGAATCCACTCAGATGTGCTTGGCGTTCCACTTCAAAAGGAACCCTGCTGGGTTAACCGCTGAGTAACTCTGCCTCTGCCCAGGCACCTGTTCAAGATTTCAGGAGAAGCAGGCAAAAGCTGACTCGGTCTCATGCAGCCCCGTTCCCACAGCCTGGACACCACCCCGTACCCCAAGGCTTGGCCTTTACCTGATGGTAACGCCCTATCTTGACATGAGAGTGTTTTCGGATCATCCCGTCTGTGGGTAGTAGCTAGAAAGAAGAGAATTAGGTGGAAAGATAAGCACACAGAAAGGGAAACTCGGTCCGAAGCAGACACGGGCAGAGCAGGAAAATAAGCATATGTTCACTGAAGAAGATGCCTAACTTCCTAAACAGAATCTAGACCCCTCACAGACTGCTAATCTGGCCATGCTAAAAATATTTAGGAAGTTACACTGAAACAGATGTTCTCTAGCGAACCGAAGATACATACCACACAGTCTACTTAGTCATTAAATACCTACTACGGAATGCACCACCTATAAAACAAAGGACTTGGACACACCCACAACATAGGTTTTCCCAAACAAAAACATTATCTCTAAATGCACATGTTCCTCTAAAGGCTCTAACTGAAAAA